ACACACACACACAAACACACACACACACACACACACACACACACACACACACACGCACACACACACACAAACACACACAAACAAACAGATAGACAGGCACATAGACAGAAAGACACACAGACAGGCACAAAAACACACAGACTTTATAAAATCTCACTTATAAAGTTTTGTGTAGTTTGCATTAATATTTTGCATTAGCTTTTATTTTTATATTTGACTATAAACTTTAGTGACTTTATTATGTGGTTTTGTCCTTTTTCAAGTTTTTATTAGTTGTAGATTTTTAAATATTATTCAAGTTTAACATATTGGCAAATATAGTAGGTTTTACTCTTTGGAGCACACAGAGAATTCTCTCGCTGTACGCTGTGTGCATCCTGTAGTAGTGTATCCCGCAGGAACCGTGTGAGCAGTAGCTGATGTGTTGTGTGTGGTGTGTGTAGCTGTGTGTGAGGCGGGCTGTAAACACGGCGAGTGTGTTGGACCGGATCAGTGCCGCTGCCATCCAGGATTCACCGGCAAGACCTGCAACCAAGGTACCACACACACACACTTTCCCTAAAAACTCGAGCACATGTGAAAGTGTGTGTGTGTGTGTGTTTTGGTCATTAACACACAGGTGTCCAAACGTTCGAGCGGCCGCTGGGGTTTGTGTTAGTGACTGATGGCAGATCTGTGTGTCTAATGATGCTTGCCGGCCTTATGGGAGACGTATTAGGATCTGATTTACTGGAGGAACACACGACAGCATGTTTGCTTTGGCCTTTCGGGCTCTTGAAAAATCTGAAGAGCGTGATTTGATATATAATTCCTATGATTATTTATGGAGAGTGTGTTATATGGAGACTTTCAGGGTGAGCTGGTTTTAAAGAATTCTTATTAGTCATTTTTTTGGGTTCTCGAGGAACCCAATTCTGCTCCCACAGAAAACATAACATAACATAAACGTTGTAGTAACGTTAATAGAACGTTCGTTATCTGGTCATAATGTTCTCAGAACATTTAAATCAGGGAATGTTTGTTCCTGAGACATTTAAGTTACATGTTCGTCTGTCTTCTTTGTTTAAACGTTACTACTTGTTTCGGAACGCTCAGAGAACATTCAAAAGTAACGTTTGAAAAACAACTATATGAAACATTCGTTTTGAACAATCTGAGAACGTTCAAACATTTTTATAACCTCATGGGAACGTTAGCATAAACATACTTTTGTTCGCTGGGAGTGTAATATAGTATTTTAGTTTTTTATAGTATTTTATAGTTTTAAAACAAAAGTTTGTCGCATATGCCTACATTTTATAAAAATACTGCTATTTAAGTTTAATACATTTATATTTCAGCTTCACTTTATTTTAATTTATTTCCAGTTAATATAGTAAATTTGGTCCTTCATCTTAAACTTATTTTAGTTACATACTGTTATATATTTCATATTTCTATTCTATACAATTATATATTTTATTAATATTTCGAATTAGGTTTTATTTTTATCTTTTATATTTAACTACACGAGATGCTGCAACACACGATTAAAAGGTATCTTTTCCAAGTTAATTTGAGTTTTTGTCCTAACCAACATTCAACTATGACAATGATGATCTTAGGTACTGATTATGTGCTTTATTCAGTGCTGAAAGTGTCTCTAATATGAGTTTAAATATCATATTACAAGACATTTATAGCCATACTGAAAGCAACAAGAGATAGTTTAGCTCAGATGTTCAAAATAAATTAAAGCAAACATGAACATTAAAACTGCAAACACAAGGCGAACCAACAAGTGTATTCCATAAAAAGATGGTATCAGTCACTCAGTATGTACATTGAATCATGTTAAAAAGGTTCAATATTAATGAATTAGATCATAAACGCTTCCAGAGGGACCCGCCCACGCACGCTTCTGATTGGCTGTGGTGTTTGATTGATTCTGTCTGGTGTGGGGACACAAATTGCTTGTTGCGTCGCGTGTAGTTAGGACTCGGTGTTATATGTACAATTTTCTTTTTCATTTTAGTTTTGTCATTTTGATTTGTGCTTCTGTCAGTTTTTATTAGTTTTTATTTAGTTCTGTTAAGTAACTTTTATGCTTACACGTTAACGTCTCGTGAGGTGTTTCTCTCTCTCTGTGTGTGTGTGAGTGAGTGTTTCTGCAGGGATGAACTTGCCTGTAAAATCAGATGCATGTCAAAGCGCAATACTTACAGACTTACAGAGACACGCAGGGCGTGTACATACATCACCACTGACCGCACACACACACACACCTGTCTGTCTGTGTGTTTTTGTGTTTTTGTGCCTGTCAGTGTGTCTGTGTGTCTTTCTGTCTATGTGCCTGTCTATCTGTCTGTTTTTGTGTGTGTGTGTGCGTGTGTGTGTGTGCGTGTGTGTGTGTGCGTGTGTGTGTGTGCGTGTGTGTGTGTGCGTGTGTGTGTGTGCGTGTGTGTGTGTGCGTGTGTGTGTGTGCGTGTGTGTGTGTGCGTGTGTGTGTGTGCGTGTGTGTGTGTGCGTGTGTGTGTGTGCGTGTGGTGTGTGTGTGTGTGTGTGTGTGTGTGTGTGTGTGTGTGTGTGTGTGTGTGTGTGTGTGTGTGTGTGTGCGTGTGCGTGTCTGTGTCTGTGTCTGTGTGTTTTTGTGCCTGTCAGTGTGTCTATGTGTCTTTCTGTCTATGTGCCTGTCTATCTGTCTGTTTTTGTGTGTGTGTGTGCGTGTGTGTGTGTGTGCGTGTGTGTGTGTGCGTGTGTGTGTGTGCGTGTGTCTGTGTGTGTCTGTGTGTGTCTGTGTGTGTGTCTGTGTGTGTGTCTGTGTGTGTGCGTGTCTGTGTGTGTGTGTGT